GGCCATGGGGATGGGGGTCTGTGTGAGGATGGGGGGGCTGTGTGGGGATGGGGGGGCTGTGTGGGGATGGGGGGCCATATGGGGACAAGGCTCTATGTAGGGATGAGAGGTGTGGGTGGACTGGGGGGCTGTGTGAGGATGGGGGGGGCTCCCTAGGGACACCCACCCCCCCGCAGGGACGGACCCACCGCTACGTGACGGAGCCCGACCCCCCCGAGCTGCTGCGCCTCATCTTCTCAGCTCTGTCCTTCGTGAGTGCCCCCGAGCGGGTCCCACCCCGCAGAATGTGTGGGACGGGTGGGGATCACCCCCCGCTCCCCCATCCCGGGGGTGCGTTTGGGGGTGCTGCTCCATCCCCCTCCCCCCCAGGTCCTGGCCCACTGCCCCAGCCCCGGCCTGGCCCCGGGGGTGGAGAGTCCATTGCTGCTGCCGGAGGCGCTGGAGTTCCTTGAGGAGAACCTGAGCGATGATGACTACGGCGTCTGGAAGAGCCTCGGCACGGCCTGGAACAAGTCCAGGTGGGGTCCAGCCCTCCGACACCGCGGAAGGGGGGTCTGGACCTGAGGGGGTCACAGCACCCACCCCGGTGTCCTTCCCGACGGCTGCAGGGCCGAGTACCCCAACAGCGCCCTGGTGCCCGCGTACACCCTGGCTTTTTCGGACGGGTGGCTGCCCCCCGTGATGGAGCAGGAACGCCACGAGGATCTCCAGGACACCGCACCGCCTGCCTCAGTTTCCCCAACTCACTTGCGACACCCTTCCCTGTCCCTGCCCCCCGCACAGTCCCCGGCCACCGGCTGGAGGGACAATCCCAGCCGAGTGTAAGCGTCCGCCTGTCCCTACGGGTGCGGAGGGTCGGGACAAGAGTTGGTCCCCGGCTGGCTGCTGATGCACCCCCCGCCACCTCCAGGACCTCCCTCCCTGCCCAGGGGCTGGCCCGAGCCCTGTACGACTTCCAGGCTAGGAATTCGCAGGAGCTGAGCGTCAGGAAGGGGGACACGCTGCAGGTACAAACGGGGGGCTCCCTCCATGGGTGCTCGTGGGGAGGGCGAAGGTGGGACCCCGGGGCCCCCCGCCCTGCCCCCCTTGTCACCCCCCGTAGGTCTTGGACCAGCAGAGGAAGTGGTGGCTGGTGCAGGACGAGCGGGGGGACAGGGGACACGTCCCTGGCAACATCCTGGAGCCCCTCCCGGAGCCGGGGCACAGCCCCAGACAGGTGGGTGTCCCCTCTGCCCCCCTTCCCCGCGGCCCCCACCAGGAGGGGGTGGCCGGCGGCCACGCCGGTGTCCCCTCCCTTTGTCCCCCGCTCCAGGACAGTCCCCCCACCCTGCGACCCAGCTCCTCGCCGGCAGAGGTGACAGCCTGGCTCACGGACAAGGGCTTCTCGCGGATGTAGGTGGTCCCTTGAGCCCCCCCCTCCCCCCAAACCTCCATTTGGGGCTGGAGGCGAGCCCCGCTGACCCCCGGCCGCCGCCCGCAGCACGGTGCGGACTCTGGGGGTGCTGCGGGGACACGAGCTGCTGCAGATGAGCCCGGCCGAGCTGCGAGGCGTCTGCCCCGAGGAGTGGCGGAGGGTCCTCTTCAAGCTGTCCCCCATCAGGACATCCCTGGGGGTGAGGGACTCCCGCCCCATGTCGGGACTACTCGGGGCTGGTGCCGGTGTCCCTGGGGGTGTGGGACCCCCGAACTGATCCTGGGGGCGAGGGATGCCCCGGAGCCCCCCCAGCCCGGGCTGGCCATGGGGCCGAGGGACCCGCACGCCCCCTCCCCATCCCGGAGCTCCCCCCCAGCTCTCCCATCCCCCTTCTCTGCAGATCGCCCCCAGGGACTGAGCCACCCACGCTGATGTCCCCGACACGTCCCTGCTCCGGATGGAGCGTCCTGGGAACGGCGGGACCTGGGGGAGAACCCACCCCCAGGCAGAGAACCACGCCTTGACACGGGACAATGTCCCCCCAAAGCCACCAGTGACACCGGGCCTCTGGGACCACTGCAGGGCTCCTGGGGACCCCCGCCCGATGGAAGGAGGGGGGCAGGACCCCCTCAGGGAAATGACTGCACCCCAAAAATGTAAAGGGATTGGTGTGGGAAATAAAAGTGACAGCAGTGAGGTGTGCAGAGTGTGGGGGCAGCGACAGGGACAGGGGAAGGGGAATAGGGACAGGGGAGGGGGCACAGGGACAGGGGAGGGGGAAATAGGGACAGGGGAGGGGGAAATAGGGACACAGCATTTCCCGTTCCTGGTCCCCATCTTTGCGAGTCGATGGCAGTGAGGGGCCCCAGGGGACAGGGCTGTCCCCAGCCCACCCCACTCAGCACCCTGGGCGGGTGGCAGGGCACCAACGCTCCCTCCCCCAGCCTTTGTCAGGGCTGCCTCATTAGAGCTCATTAGGAATGTGCTAATGAGGAGCGGGGGCGGGAAGGAGGGAGGTGCAGGGCTCCTTTCAGAGAGAGAGGGCCCTGGGCTGAGCCCCCAAACCAAACCAGCCATGCAGGCCCCCTGGGGCAGGGACCCCCCACACCCACCAACCCCCAGCCACGGGTGGGGGTCACCTCAGTGCCCCCAACACCACAAGGCTCGTCAGGGGCTCTGGGTGCCACATCTAAAAAAACACTTTATTGTCTTGGGGGGTTTCATGCCAGCGGTGCTGTCCCCCCGCCGAGGATGGAGGATGCTGGGGGGGTGGGTTAGGACTCCCCCCACCCTCCGAGCCCCGTGCTGAGCTCCTACAACTTCTTGTTACCCCACTTGGCCATCTTGTTGTTGATGGGCATCTTCTGGAAGCAGCTGGACTTCATGTAGGCAGCCACCTTCTCCAGAGCCTGGGGACACAGGTGGAGCGTCAGGGACGCCCCCAGCGCCGCAGCCCCCACCCAGGGGTGACCTCAGGGTGCCCCTGCTCACCCCAAAGCGCTCCACAAAGTCCTTGAGGTTCTTGAAGGGCTCCAGGCACTTGGGCTCAAAGATGCGGTTCTGATCCAGCACATCGAACATGAGGAAGTCTACGAAGGTCAGCTGGGGACATCGGGGGGACACAGTGAGGACAAACCCCCTCCCCAGCCCCCTCAGCCCCCCCGGGAGTCCTGGCAGTACCTTCTCCCCCACAAACCACTTTCTGTCCCCCAGGAAGTTGGAGAAGAGCTTCAGCTTCCCTGGGAGCTGCTCCAGGTAGCCCGGCTTGAGCTTCTCCTGAGGGAGGAAGCAAGGGGTGAGGAAGGGCAGCCCCAGCCTGTCCTGTCACCCTGGGGAGCACCCTCCCAGCATGGGGTCCCCAGGGCTGGACAGCTCCCCCGGCCTGCAGGACACTCACAAAGTCAGGGTTGTAGCAGATCATGACAAGGCTCATGCGGAAATCCATGATCTGGTTCTCCAGCATGTCCACACGCAGGATCTCCTCCTCTGTCTCACCACCTGCACGGGGTGATATCAGTGCTGGGGGCACAAACCCCCCCTGAGCCCAGCTCTGCTCCCCCAAACCCCCCTGAGCCCAGCTCTGCTCCCCCAAACCCCCCTGAGCCCAGCTCTGCTCCCCCAAACCCCCCTGAGCCCAGCCCTGCTCCCCCAAATCCCCTGAGCCCAGCTCTGCTCCCCCAAACCCCCTGAGCCCTGCCCTGCTCCCCCAAATCCCCTGAGCCCAGCCCTACTGCTGGCTGTGGGTCCATTTAACTTCAGCTCCAACCCCATGCTCACCCCAACTCCAACCTGTACCCCAACTGCAACCCCAAAGCAAGCCCAACTGAACCTCAATCCAACCCCAATCCTCCTCCAATCCCAACCCCAACCCAACCCTGCTCCAATCCCAACCCCAAACCCGCTCCAACCCCAACCCTGCTCCAATCCCAACCCCAACCCTGCTCCAATCCCAACCCCAACCCTAACCCAACCCTAAAACTAACCCCACTCCAACCTCAACCCAATTCCAGCCCTACTCCAACCCCAACCCAACCAAATCCCAATCTAATTCCAATCCTACTCCAACCCCACCCCAATCCAATCCCAGCCCCCCCAATTCAATTCCAGCCCCCCCAATCCAATCCCAGCCCTCACAATCCAATCCCAGCCCTCACAATCCAATCCCAGCCCTCACAATCCAATCCCAGCCCTCACAATCCAATCCCAGCCCTCACAATCCAATCCCAGCCCTCACAATCCAATCCCAGCCCTCACAATCCAATCCCAGCCCTCACAATCCAATCCCAGCCCTCACAATCCAATCCCAGCCCTCACAATCCAATCCCAGCCCCCCCAATCCAACCCCAGCCCCCCCGAGCCCCCCACTCACACATGTTGTGCTTGCGGGCGATGTAGCGCAGGATGGCGTTGCTCTGTGTCAGTTTGGTGGAGCCATCGATGAAGTACGGGAGCTGGGGGGGACATGGGGACACTGGGACATGGGGACACCCCCAGCCCCCAGCCACAGCCCCCCCAGCTCCTGAGCACCTACGTTGGGGAAGTCGAGTCCCAGCTTCTCCTTCTCGTTGATCCACTGGCTCTTATCGTAGTCGGGAGCTGGAAGGGAAGGGGGGGCTGGGTGGTGTTGTGTCCTCCCCAAAAGCCAGAGAGGTTGGGGGTGGTGTGGGGACCCCCTGACCCCCCTCACCTTCCCCACAGCTGTAGAGTTTGTCCTCGTAGGGTGTCTCCGTGTACTCCAGGAGCAGACGGATGGCGTGGGCAAGCTGGGGAGTGGGATCAGTGAGACACCCCAAAAACATCCCCCACACACTGCCCAGAACTGCCTCACACATGGGGAAACTGAGGCACGGGGGAGGGCAAACTGCATTCCCTTCCCAGTACCCCCAGACAGCACCCCCTGCACAGCGGGAACCCCCCAAAAGCAGCATCCTCCCACCCCCAAGTGCAGCAGGACCCCCACAAGACATCCCAGACTATCCCCAAAAGATCAGGGACACCTCCAACAGCTTCCCCTGAGGGTCCCCACAGCCCCCCCAAGACAAAAGGGACACCCACAGACCCCTGCACCCCCAAAACCAGAAGGGACCCCACAAACCCCCCGAACATCCCCCGCAGCCCCCGAAAGACCGAAGGGACCCCCGGAGACCCCCCCAAAAGAGCGGGGGGACCCCGAAGAGCCCCTGGGGAGCCCCCGGGTCCCCCGCTCACCCCGCGGATGTCCCAGTACCCCAACACCGCCATGGCGCGCGCTCCCGGCCCGGCCCCCCACGTGACACGGCCGCGTCCCCACGTGACACGGCCACGCCCTCCCCACGTGACACGGCCACGCCCTCCCCACGTGACACGGCCACTCCCCCCACGTGACACGGCCACTCCCCCCACGTGACACGGCCACGCCCTCCGGGGGGCGGGGAAGGGACGGGGCTTAAAGGGCCCGGGAACCGCCCCCAGCCCCGCGGGGACCCCCTGAACAGGAGGTTCTGTGACCCCCCCAAACTCCCTGGGGTTCCTCCCATCCCCACGGGAACCCCCTTGTCTTGAGGGCTCTGTGACCACCCCAAAGTCCGTGGGGTCCCCCATACCCCGGAGTGTCTGCGACCACCCCGAATCCTATGGGGGACCCCTTAACAGGGGACCGTGACCTTCTCCATCCCCGAGGCTTTGCGGCCCCCCCAAATTCCATGGGGTCCTCCTTATCCCAGGGGTTCTGTGACACACCCCATCCACCCCCCGGCACCGCTTTATTCTGGGGTCACTGCAACCCCACAAACTCCGTGGGGTCCCTTGTTCTGGGGCTCTGCAGCCCCATAAATTCCATGGGTTCCCCCTTTTCCTGGGAGCCCTGTGACCCCCCCAAGCTCCACGGGGACCCCCTTATCCTGAGGGTCGTGGGTCCCTCTGTGACACCCCCTCAAGCTTCATCGGGGTCCCCCTTTCAATCCCCTAAGCTGCAGGGGGGGGTCTCACTATCCTGGGGGGAACAGGGACCCCACCTTGGTCCCCACAGTCTCCACGGGGCTCCCCCTTATCCTGGGGGTGCAGGGGGCAATGGCTTCCCCCATCCCGGGATCCAGGAGGGTCCAGCACCCCGACCCCAGGGGTTACCCCACAAATGAGGGGTTCCCGCAGCTCCCACCGCAGTCCCTCGGCAGCTCAGTGCACCCCACACAGCGGCTGGACAACGGGGGAGCCCCCCACGCTTTATTGGGGAGTTCTGGGGTGTCCTGGGGGGCACGGGGGGGTCAGCCCCTCACTCCTTGCTGCTGCACCACTTCGCCGTGCGCCAGAAAATCGGGGTTTTCATGAAGCGCCCCGAGCGCATGTAGGCAGAGACCTTGTCCAGGGCCTGGGGGAACAGGGACACGTGGGGACATGGATGGGGACACCACAGGGTCAGGGATGGGAACACTGGGGTGCCTGGGATGGGCACAGGGGCACCAGGGTGTTTGGGACAGGGACACTGGGGTGTTGGGACAGGGACACTGGGGTGTTGGGACAGGGACACTGGGGTGATGGGGACAGGGACACTGGGGTGTTGGGACAGGGACACTGGGGTGATGGGGACAGGGACACCAGGGTGTTGGGGACAGGGACATTGGGGTGTTGGGACAGGGACACCGGGGTGTTTGGGTGTTTGGGACAGGGATGGCAACAGCAGGGGCTCAGGGACGGGGACAGAGATGGACCCTGGGGTGTCAGGAATTGGGACAGGGACATTGGAGAGTCAGGAATGGGATGGGGACATTGGGATGTCAGTGATGGGGACACTGGGGGGTCAGGGATGGGGTCATGGGGGTGACAGGAATGGGGATGGAGACAGAAGCACTGGGCATTGAAGGATGAGGTTTGGGATGGGACAAGGACACAGACACTGAGGTGTCAGGGACAGTGATGGACACGGCAGGGGGACACTGGGGCGTCAGGGATGGAGATGGGATGGAGATGGTGCCGGGGACACCGGGGGCTGCCCCGTGCCCCTGCTCACCT